TATGTATATATATATATATATATATGTAAAAACACAACAACGGCAATCGATAAGCCCCACCTTTCAGGTGTACAGACAGATAGCCACCAAGGCTGTCAGGGGGCCCCCCTGGGGGCCCCCGGGGGCCCCCAGGGAGACTATAGGCCCCTAGGGGCCCCTGGGGGCCCCCCAAATTCACTATAGGCGGGGGTGGAGGGGCTTGTCCTTTTGTTTAGGGTTTAGGGTTTAGGGTTATTTATCTAGCTGTATTTTATTGTATTTTATTTTTTTTTATTTTTTTTATTTTTATTAAATTAAATAATTTATTTATATTATCAATAACAAATGCCAATACAAACAGACACAGCAACCACCGCACTGCTGGGGGGGCCCCCGAGAACTGTAGTTGAAAGTTTTAGGGTTTTTCTATTTGTTTTTGTTTTTTATTTTATATTTTGAGTTTATTAGTTAGCTGTCTTAATGCCTGAGGCCTAGGGTTTAGGGTTTAGGGTTTAGGGTTTAGGGTTTAGGGTTTGTTGTTGCATGGCTTGTGCGTCGATACACGCTAAACCCTCAACAGCAGTCTGCTGCATGCACGGGGCCTCCCTGGGGGGCCCCCCTCGGAGGCCCCTATACAGGGTGTGGGGGCCCCCACCCAGTTGCTGGTATCAGTACTTGCTGCTGCTGCTGCAGCAGCAGCAACAGCAGTTGCTGCTGCTGTTGTTGTTGCTGCTGCTGCTGCCACAAGGTGCCGCTGCAGTTGCAGCAGGGGGACTAACACCTCACCTGCTGCTGAGGGGCCCCCAGGTGGGGGGCCCCCCTGGGGGCCCCCGGGGGGCCCCTTGTCTCCGCACCAAGCCAAACCCTAAACCCTTAACTTCTTCTTTCCTCTATAGTAACCAAACCCCTCAACCCTATTTGCTTTGGGGGCCCCCAGGGGGGCCCCCCAAGCATGTGGTGAAGCTGCATAGGCCTTCAACTGCAGCAGCAGCAGCAGCAGCAGCACCAGAGGCAGCACCAGCAGCAGCAGCAGCAGATGCAGATGCAGCAGCAGCAACCACACCACCAATAGCAACAGCAACAGGAGATACAGCAGCAGCAGCAGCAGCAGCAGATGCAGATGCAGCAGCAGCAGCTCGTCGATCTACCCTTCCGCATGCAGCCTCGGCGGGGCCCGAGGGGGGCCCCCCGCGTTGGTGTGGGGTCTTTTTGCAGCCAATGGACGTCGACTGTCTCCTTAGAGAGACAGAAAAGATAAAGGAGACACTCGTCAGGAGGGGGGCCCCCCAAGAGGTACAGGAGGCCCTGGAGGCCCTACCGGGTACGCTGTGAGGGTTTAGGGTTTAGGGTTTAGGGTTTAGGTAGGTTTAGGGTTTAGGGTTTAGGGTTTAGGGTTTGGGGTGTGCAGGGCTGGTGATGCGCCTGCGGCGTGCTGCTGGAGAGGAGATAGAATTGATGAGGAGACGCAAAGAGGCAGCAAGAGTGCAGCAGCAGCAAAAGCAGCAGCAGCAGCAGCAGCAGCAGCAGGAGCAGCAACAACAGCAGCAGCAACAGCAGCAGCAGGAGCAGCAACAGCAACAGCAGCAGCAGCAGCAGCAGCTGCCGCAGCAGCAGCAGCAGCAGCAACCGCAGCAGCAGCAGCAGCAGCAACCGCAGCAGCAGCAGCAGCAGAAACCGCAGCAGCAGCAGCAGCAGCAGCAGCAAAGCAATTTGTCTTCTGAGGTGGAAACAGCACCAGAGGTGCGGCAACCAAAAAAGGAGACAGTTATATAACAAAGGAGACAGCTATATAATAAGGAGACAGC